TCATATAGGTCAGAAGATGTAAGATTAAGAAATTCTAGAGTAGATAATTGTTTGAGTAGGAGTTGATATCTTCGTTTGTGATAAAAGGATTCTTTGAAAGAAGTTTTGTTGTTTGAGACGTGATTGATAAGATTAAAGGTGCAAAGCCAATTAATTTGTTTGTTTTTATAGTGATTATTTTTTTGGAGATTGTAATAGTTTGTAAAAGATTTGGAATTGATAAAGTTTTAAAGAAAGGTCGGATTTCTTTGTTAATAAAATTATCTTAGAAAGTAGGGATGAAGGAAAGAAAAGGGATATGAGAGAAGGAGATAGAGATTGGAGGAGCATGAAGAGCGGATTTAGCCAATTTATCAACTTTTTCATTATAGGAATTGCTAGAATGTGCCTTGACTTTTACTAAAGATAATGTGATCTGCTTTTGTTCGATAATTTGAAGATGAAATACCAATAAATATAAAAGGAAGTTTTAAAGAGCAAGGATGGATAAAAACAAATGTTATTTTGCAGAATTCTATTGTAAGCAAGAATCATTGACAAGCTATCAGTATTAATTTTAACAGTGGAACCAAAAGGACAAACAAAAAGAGTCATAAGAAGAGCAAAGATTTCAGCGCTAGTAGAGTTGGCCCAAAGAGGAGGCAAAGCAGCAAAAAAACTAATATCTAGAGAATCATACACAAAAACAAAAGCGAAACTAATAAAAGTACGTATAGGTGATGGAATGAATTGGTGAGAACTATCAGTGTAAAATTCTAAAACTGATTCATTAAATAAAGAAACTCTATGGTTATTAAGGGTGGTGATACATTCTTCGGAAATAAATAAACTTTCTATAGTTAGGATATCAGTATCTATATTTAAATGGACAGGTAGTATATTTGGAGTAGAAATGGAATGAATCATTTTGAATCTAGCAACAGCTTGGTCCATTAAAGGCCACAAGGATCTCTTAGGAATATGTAGATTTTTAGCATTGCTTTGAACCAACGGAGAAATAGCGATCGGATTGGAAAGCAATGGATTAATTAAATGAGTACAAGGCAACTTTTTAAATTTTGGTTTGATGTTGATCTTTTTTCTGGATTTATTAAAACAGTAGCCAGAACATGATACCAGTACATCATTTCTTTTTGATGGTGAATGCGGATCATTTGTTGGATTATTTAGGGTAAAATGTTGAAAAAGACAAGGTAGAGCAGAAGATTCCAGTTTAAACACTTTTCCAAAGATAGACGAATCAGGAATTGAAAATTTGTAAATGTCATAATCAGAAGAAGTCCATATGTTAGCCCATCCAGTATTTCATCTAAAGTCCTCGATCGAAGTCAATGTTGAATAATCGTTAAATACTTGGGGCTCAAAAGTGAACTCTGATTTGAGGCGATTTGAGAATATAGGATTCATTAAAACTATCTTTTGTAATAATTTGAACCAACGTGAAGTAACTCCATTAAAATTAGCTGAGGAGAAAGATCGAAGCTGAATGCCATGATAATTGAGAAGAAAGCTACCAGAAGCAACTACTTGGGAAAGAAACATAATGTTTTTTGATCTAATATTACCAATGTCATTCGTGTTCTAAGGCATAATTGTGTTGAGAAGGACTAAACCTCCCGAGATTCAAAAAAGAGCAATCATTTTTGGGGAATTAATAAAGAGAAACTAGAGTCATGGTATGTGGTGATGAAATTTGAAAAAAAAATTCTATGTCTATAATGCTTCTGTAACTTAGGCCAGCAGACTAAAGGATTATCATGTAACCAAAATCTTCGTTGTAGTTGTTTAAGTCGAATGAGTACAGACAGACCAAGGATTGTATTATCAGGAGAAGAGTTAATAATGTTAATAAACTGTTGAATTTTTGAAGTTTGAGAGACAGATGAAAGATCGTTGAATCCATAGGCCAGTTTGTTATGTATGATCGAGTTTGGTGTGCTACATCTAAGTCTCAGTTTATTTTTAATTAATTTCCTCATGGGTTTATATAAGAGGTCACATTCAAGTTCAGAGAGGATAGTCAATCTCGACTTATATTCTAGGTGAGGCATGAGAACCATATTATTCAAATAACGCAGTTGCTTATCGGTAAGAGATTTAAACTAAAGCTTATCTCTAAAATATGAGATTTTCAAGAAAATTTGACTTTTAATAAAGGATTTATTGTAACAGGCTGAGATCCAAACACCTAAATAGCGAGTTGAATCTATGGGTGAAATAGTTTGACATTCGAAAGAAATATTATTATGTGAATATCTGAATAAAATCGATTCAATATTAGTGTGATTTGTGATCAAGTATGATTTGTCAAAATTGACTTTCATGGAGTTCAGCTCATAGAAAGTCTGAGTGATATTAAGGATACTAGTCATTTGATCATAACTGTCAGCAATCCAAATTGTGTTGTTCATAAAGGCTAGGACAGGAATAGTAATGTTAAGTGATTTTGTAACAGAGTCATTGAGGTCAGGGTTCCAAGTCGTTGACATGTTAAAACCAAATCCAGACTTTTTTATTCTGTTAAAGAGAGGATTATAATATATAACCCAGAGTAGCGGTGAAATAACTTCGCCTTGGTCAATACCGACAAGGATATTATAAGGATCAGTAAGGCCAAAATTAGTGAAGATCTCATTTGTTCAGTTGAGAAAGAGTCTAATTATCAAGTTGATCAGAGTGTCTGGGAATTAAAGACGAATCATAGCTTTTTAAGCATAAAGATATTTACTTGATCATAAGCCTTTGATATATCTTGAAAAAGGATGTGTAAATCTTGTTTGTAAGAAGTGTCAGTTTCTTTATTAAGACGATGATATTCCAGGAGATTATTGATTATATGGAGGGATTCCGAAATGGATTGATGTGAAAGGCCTGCAAAATTCAAATCTGACAAAGCGTTAGACTTAATTAGGACGTTTTGTAATCTAGCATTTAAGATTTTTGTGAAAGCTTTTCAAACAGTTTCTAAAAGAGTTATCAGTCTGGTGTTATTGAGATCACAGTTCCATAGCTTCAATTTCCGTATAGGATACACATAGGCCATATTCCTTTGTTGTGAAATAAGACCCGATATGAAGCAAACGCAAATAGTTTTGTACAGAAATTTGTTAGCGAGTGGACCCAATTTTTTTAGCAACTCATTAGAAATATTGAAAAAACTGGGAGCTTTGTTATTAGGTAAGTGTTTGATGACTAGCAGCCATTTGTCATAACTAGGACGTCAAGAATATTATCATATTCGTTAACATTAATAGTTGATAGAGGTTGGTAGAACGATTCCCATTAAGGCCAGGAATCAGAAAAATGAGACAAATTAGGATCAGTAACATCTAGGTTTTGGGTACCAGCAACTGTTTGAAAATGTTAAGCAGTTGCCTTCTTTACTGATGTTGGGTTTAATTCTAAATAGGGATCAGTATCGGGTTCATTGATCATAACTCTGTACAGAATGATAGTTTTTCTTGATCTTTCGAGACAGGAATCAATCATTTTTAAAGGAGCATCTTTGTAGTCATCGATTTGTTGTAATATATGGGCTTTGATTCAGTCATTAGTTTCTTGTTTGGATACGATTTTCAATTTACATTCTAGCGATTTGATGATAGAAGCTTTTAAATCTTCGAAATATGCTTTAAGATCTTTTTAATAATAGAAAGAATCAATCGAAGCTGATGAGATCCTGTGTTTGTTAACAATGAATAGAACGTATTAATGCTCCTCATATTTGATACTAAAATTATAGGATGAAAACACAGGGGTGGCATCTTCTTTATCTATGAACATTTTGGTTCTGTGATATAGTTTGTATAGTTTTTAATCTGCCTGTAAATTGCGGAATTATTATAACTAAATAGGGACTTATGTTGAACAGTAGAAGTAGATTTGGGAATATGCTTGTTAGCAGCACATAAGACCGATTCTGCAAAGAATTCCCATGCTTGATTAAAAATTGATTGAGAGAAACTTAGAGTGTTAATATCACAGTTGTAAAAATTCTTTGATTCCTTAATGAGCTTATCAAGTTTATCCGAAAAAAGTCCCAATGTAAAAGTGCAGTTTTTTCGAAATTGTAAGAAGTTTGTGTAGTTTTGTGTTATTTTCTGTATGCACTAGAAGAGTTGTTGAAGATATTATTTTTGTAGAGGGTAATGTGAAGAGGAAGATGGTCGGATTCGTAAATTGGGCTAGAGGAGTCGAAGATTTTGAAGGAAGTGAGATCATAAGAAAGAGATAGAGAGGTGAAAATGTAATCAATGTGGGTATGAGTTTTTCTTGAAGAAGTGAAGGTATAGGGAAGATGTTTGGAAATGTCGGAGATTAATGAAGCAGTGTGTACAAAATTTAAATTAGCTATTTTGTCAATAAAGTAACTATGCAATCAATTACTTTTAGAATTGTTATGTTTGTTCTGGATCTTATAGAAATCGATATTAAAGTCACCCATTAATACTATGTGAAAAGATTTTTGTGCTTCAAGAATAATATTAATAACTAAATTTTCGAGCTTCGTTCTAAGGGCTAGTTGGTCTTGATCATTAATATTAGCAGGAAGATAAATTTGGATAATCTTTAATTTAGTTTTGTTTTTGAATTGTAGATCAATATAAGCAATTCTATCGAACAAAATTTTTGGAAAAATATATGTCTATGAAGACAGGATTTAATAATAAAACTAACACCTTGGTAATGGGATTGAGTATTATCAACTTCAAAAATAAATTTATATGGATTGTTATGGAAATTTTTTGAACGGTATAGGGCTTGTGTAGCACTAAGATGGGTTTCGCTTAGTCCTAAAATATCTAGATTATAAGAGTGAAAAATTGTTCGATTTGGGTCATTTTCTCATTAGACACGCAACTTCTGACGTTGTGGGTAGCGATTTAAAAAAAATTTGGATCATTAAAATGAGAACAAAAACTGTCGTTAGTTAAAATTTTTTTATTTCTATTCAAAATGGGCTTTTGGAACACCATTTGGGATGCTGTTTTGGTGTACATTCATAAATTATTAGGAGAAAAAGTTTGGGTGAGAGTGCGTAATATGAACAAAATTGAAAGAGTTTTGGATTTGATATCGTTAACTGAAGATTCAACTGAGTCAATTCTTTGTAAATGGATCGTTTGAGGGTATAGAACGTCAGTCGAAGAGTTTGAGGAAGATGAAGCTTCATTATTTTCAGCTTGAATAGAAGGAGTAACAGGAGTTATTTCCATTTCTTCTTCACCGTTGTGAAGAGAAAATTCTTATTCCAGGTCATCGATTTGTTTTGGGTCATGTTCAACGTAATGCATATATTCGAGATGATTCAGACAAAAATTTATGTCCTTCTGAATCTGCTCATATTTGATAATAGAATTTTTAAAAAAACTATTTCGTCATCTATAAGAGTGAGTTTGTTTTCTATATTATTCAGTTTCTCTTGTATGAATTTAAAGGCGTCAGTAGTATTAGGAGATATATTTTTGAGCAAACTATTCTTATTGTTCTTATTATCGTTAGAAAGACTGTCATTATATGAACCATTTTTTTCATTCTGTAAAACTTGGGAAAAAGATTTGTAAGGATCTGGATTAGAAGATTGAAAAGATCTCAGCAGTCTGTACTGCTCTAGCTTAAAATGATCATACAGAGGTATGTAAGGATTGGCTGATTTACTATTGATACAGTCTTTCAGTTCATGGTCAGGGATACCACAAACTTTGCAGTGTTTTTTTGATGATTCCATCCAATATAGGACCTTGCCTTTAAATTTTTGGGATTAATTAGCAGCAGAGATAAGATCATCATTGTTGGAGAAATTTACAAAAGCATATGATCGAAGTCAGTATTGCTGATCATATGGGATGAAACAAGATTTTGCTTTGATATGAACGAGAAAATCGATTAGTTGCTTTTGATCAGTATTATAAGGTAACCCAATAAGTTTTAGTTCGAATTGTTATCTGAGAGCAATTTGTGAAGGATCGAGATCAGTCGGTTTAACTCTTAAAAAATTTTCCAAGAAAGAAATTGATCACACTTGATCATAAAATTGTTTGATAGATCCAGGATCTTCAAATACAATAACAGCGATTTGTCAGGGTCCTCTGATAATCATGGAGAATCGAGAGATCTTTTCATATTTGGTGAAATAATTTTGTATTACATCTGATTTGGTAAAAAGCGGAATGTCTGAGACTTTGATTGTCCTGCCTTTTTCGGCATTTTGTCATTGTTGTTTCACAGCGGGATCGATGATAGTAAAAATAGGATTATGCTGTGTTTCCTGCGTTTTTGTGAGAGCATGTTTTAAGGAGTCCATCGATTTAAAATAAACAAAGAATTTTCTGAATTTGGAAATGTATGTTGTGCCTTGATACCTATCGAAATGGATAAACAAGGAGTTAATAAAAGTGCGATTTTCAGCCACAGATTTTTCCTTGACGTCAGAGGTATTATCAGTTGCATAGAAATGTATGGGAGCAGTGATGATATTGAAAGAGACTTCTTTTAGTTCTTGGTCACGTGATTTTTCTGTTTCTTCAACTTCATCAGTCCATGATTGTCATTGTTTGCCTTTGTTAGTTGGGAGAGAACGTAATCGAAACTAGTATCATCGAAAATATTATCCTTGTTGAAGTTTGCGTGCATAGAATCATTGGTGGTTAATTTCAGAGGTGGTGTAGAGATGGTGCTAACAATGGTATCTGAAGATGTATCAACTTCCATTTCATTATGTGGAACAAAATTAGAGGAGACGTTTAAAGGTAGTGAAGTCATATTAGAAGGAGTATCATCGTTAAGGATGATGTTTTCGATAATGTTATGAATATTCGTATTTGTTTCTTGGTCGTTGGGTAGTGAAGTAGTTTTTTGTTTTTTCAAAGTAGAAACAGTTTTGTCATTTTCAAAAGTTTGAGGAATAGAACTGAAGGTTTCACTATCATTAGAAGAGTTAGTTCGTTTGTTTTTTTTGTTAGTTCTTTGATTTTTCTTTGCTAAAGTTGAATGAGTAATGGGCATTATTTTTATTGTCAATCTTTTTCATTTGTTTTTGAGAAGTTTGGGAAAGAGTTTTTTGTATATTTTAAAATTATTTTTTTTTTTTTTTTTTTTTAAAGACGCGATGAAGCTTTTATTTATTAAAAATTCAAATTCAAATTATAAAATAAGAAGAAAATCCCAAGACAGGTACAAAAGTAGAAAAAATAAAGTAAAAACTGCTTAGCCTTCCTCGAAGGGTAAAACAACTCCAACCAAACCAACCGGTTGTTTCGTCACGTTCAAATTCGACTACTTAGAGAAGAAAAATCAGTACATGACTAAAGAAAAAATTAAACCGTTTGAGACAACTAGTTTTCACTGCGCTAAAAAGAGGCCAGGATCTGCCATGAATAAATGAGTTAGAAAAAAGAGTTAAATGGTTCATATTGTTGTCGTTGAGAGGTGTATTAGGCATAGAAGAGAGGTTGTAACTGGAAGATGATTTGCTACGTTTCTTTTTGTTTGTAATATTAAAGGTCAGTTCTTTGGCAATGGTCAGAGCACATCTGGGTTTCCAAATTAGAGAGATCGCCTGATCGATGATAAAGTTGTAGAAAGAGGATAAAATGGCTAGAGTTTTTTTTTGACATTTGGTGTAATCGTTAATGAGAAAGTAAAAATGAGAAGGAACAATTCCTTTTAGGAAGTCGATGAGATTGAATGAGGTAGAAGGGGACAAGTCCCAATATGGATGTGAGATATCGAATATAGAAAGTAATTCCATTGGCCATTCCCGGCTAGAGGTATGAATGTACAGTTGGTCTTTGAGAGTTCGAATACCCTTTATGACAATATTATTGAGGATAGAAGTAGATTCAGGGCATGTCCAGATATGATTAAAAGTTTCATTA